ACCTTGGCCGCCGGGAGGGCGGGTGGGAACGCGGTTCGAAGACGCGTCTGCACCAAGCGGACCCACGTATTACACACGTGGGTCCGCTTGGTAAAAGAGCGGTCGATGATGACTTATTTAGGCTCAGAATTGCACTATCACCTGTAAAAAAGCATATATGTGACGCATACGAGTGTTTATGCTGGGTTTTCAGTCAGAGAATCCTTTTACTTGTCCACTATTCAGGAGTGCAATATGCTTGAGCACATGACTGCCTACTTACTGAAAAGGTCGTCTTGGCATCAAAACGAATGCTCCATCGCATCGTACCAGACTTGACTCTAACTACACTAACTTATACATTTTTTGATAGGAGTTAATACTCAGGCAGCATAAAGTGCGTCCAAAGGGCCTCTAAATTAATCTGACTCCCTGATTTTTGCTTTCATTTGATTCAATGATCGCCGTCAAAAACATGTTTCCAACTGAAAAAGGAGGACAATAGTGGAATTAAGCCAACATTAAATCCTCCACTTGCACCTGCCAGGCGAAATATGAAGGCAGTGGGTAGCTATTGAGCAGTGGATAGGGAATAAGGCTGCTATAGTTGAAAATGATTGTTTTTCAACAGGCGGTTCGGGGAGCGAACTCGTGATGCACAGAATTAGATGAAAAAATGAAGACCGACGACAACTTTTACGAATACTTCCCTCCCCTCCTTCTGTCTTAACTTCTTCCTTATAGCGTCAACACTTTGCATTCAATGGACTCGATTTCATCACGCTGCGCCTCTATGCCCGCAACCCTCGGCGCAGCGGGAGAGAAGAGGTTAACCAACTAGGCGACATTCCGTGGGTGGCCGCACACTGGAAGACCAACCCCCGTGTACCCCTGCCCCTCAGTTGGCAGTGGACCCGCGCCGAGGCTGCCACTGTCCTACAGAGTCACTGGCGTGGTTACCTGGCAAGTACCATTACTAACGAGTTCCCAATCCCCCTTTATTTTTGTTTCAAAACACGATTCGTTGGCCACCCCATAACACCCACCACAACTTATTCAACGACTTTAAGCTATATATATATATAT